TTTGAATATAATCAGTCAAAGCATATAAGAGATATGGCTCTCGAAGCCCAATCATTAAAACAAAATGGCCGCCAGTCAGCTATTTTAAATCCAATCTGAAAAATAAAATGACATGCATCAGGAACCTGTAATCTCTAATGTATGTTATATGTTTGAACAAAATCCATCCATAAATGCCAGAAATGCTTGATATTTGATGATTTTTTTAGCACAAAAATGGGCACTATTTGACCATTTTGAATCAGAATGTGAAACAAATTGATGTATATGTATAATATTATTATGATGCATGTGTGAATTTTGAAAGTAATTGGTCCAAGATGTAGGTCCGGGCGCACACACAGATGAGTTTGAATGACCCTCAATGAGCTCAATGGGTTAATGAAACTATATTTCAACCTCAGGAGGGGTGAACATTTGTATAATTCCACATGATGCAAGCCAAGCTGTTAATAATTGCATTAACAGCTAAGTAAACAACTCAAATCCAACTGCGACAAAATAAAACTTACCTCAATTTCTCTAAGCTTAGCTCTTCTTCCTTCAGACATTTCAGTCATCTTTAAAGAACTAGAACTATTTTCTCTATCTGGACTGTCTGGTTCAGCTTCAGCTTCCTCTTCTTCACATGCATTCTCCTCATGCTCTGATCTGGAATGAAACAAACACTGAATGTGGTTCAGACACAGATGACCTGTCTTGTCCTGGTTTGTAAAAGACAGCACATAATGTCATTGGCAAATAAGTGGTGGAAACAGATGAGCATAGGAAACCATGTCATGCCTTATCGAGTAGCTTATAATGAGCTGCTCAACTTACTCTTGTTTTTCTTCCTCTTGCTCTATCTCATCCTCCTCTTTTTTGTGCTCTAACATGTCCCACTTGGATGTTGTCATAGCTTGTGCTTCTAATTCAGATTCATCAACAGTTTCCCACCTTGAGGGCGCTATTTTTGGTACTTTCTCATCCAGTGGACTGCCATCTAAATTTTCTTCTTTTACTAGATGCACAAAGGAACATAATTGATCTGTTTGTCATATAATATGCTTACCTACCATCCACATATTACGTCATATACTATGATTACCTTCCACCCACATATTGAGTCATATACTATGATTACCTACCATCCACATATTGAGTCATATACTACGATTACCTACCATCCACATATTGAGTCATACACTACGATTACCTACCATCCACATATTGAGACATAC